GGACTTACCTAGTCGGACTATTTGTCCCAGGTAAACATACTCGTCAACAACTTCGAGCTTAGTGCTCCCAACAACTACCGGCATAGGTGTGACATGGACGTTAAACATGGTTTTTGTTTTGTCCATGTTCATCTTAAGACCCATCCGTTGGGAGACACTATTGAAGTCATTGAGCATAGTGCTCTCAGGTCCTCCAGCGATTCTGCCAAAATGACTATATCGTCGGCAAATCGAATTGATGTTAATACCGTATCCTTTCCAGTCCAGAAGCTTAAAAACGTCTTCCAATGCAGCGCTGAAGAGTTTCGGGGATATAACGTCACCCTGTCTTACACCTCTCTGCAGTTGGATAGGTTTCGTACTCTGATTCTGTACTCGAATAGCCATCGTAGCTCTATTGTACAAACACTTCAGCACTTCGATATAACGACAATCAACTTGACAGCGCGGAAGGGACTGCAGCACCGCCTAAATTTCGACGGAATCAAAGGGTTTCTCATAGTCCATATACGCAAGGCAAAGTGGCAGATTATACTCCTCTGTCTTCTGTACAATTTGCCGAAGGGTGTGTATGTGGTCTATGGTACTAAAGTCTTTTCGAAAACCGGCTTGTTCGGGAGGCTGGAAGTCGTCAAATCTGCGCGCGAGACGATTCGTAATGACTCTCGAAAACAGCACGTTGACGCGGCTCAGAAGCAAAATCGGTCTGTAGTTCTTCAAGAGAGCGTTGTCGCCTTTCTTGAAGAACAAGATCACCGCACTTTTGCTCCACGCCTCCGGATTAGTACGAACATGGAGAACGGAATTAAAGAGCTTCTGAAGGACTTCAAGTACCGGTTTTCCACCCGCTTTCAAAAGCTCCGCTATAATACCATCCTCGCTCGGAGACTTTCCATTTTTAAGGTGATGGAGAGCCATTCTAATCTCGCTCAGACTGATGTCCGGGATATCTTCGGAATAGTGTCGGATAAGACTTATTCTTAATTAATCAATAATCAATAACAATCAATAATTAATCAAAATCTTAATTAGTCTCAATAATACTTATTTTTAATTTATTTTTACTTCGTTTATAGGATTCGAATGCTGTAGCTTCATCCGCGTATTCGTCTCTTATGGAATCGATTGTCGGGGTCGCTGGAAGAGAGAGCACTGCCTTCAAACGAAAATGAGTGATACTCATGATGAGCGAAGTGAGACTACTCATGAGGAAACTGTGGACAACCTGGGCATCGCGTCTATGGAACCACACACGACTTCGATTGTTTCGGACATCACTAAAAATATTCCAAACAAACCAGCTCAAGAAACTCTTATGAAGAAAATTGGTTTACTTCAACGGAGAATAAATGTTCTTACTGAAGCAAGGGACACTGGTATAGCCAAAAATGATGTTTACGAAGAAATAAAAAAACTACGAAAAGAATTGAAAGAAAAAGAAAAATGTTTAAAGAAAAAAAGAGACAGTGCCAAGCGTGCAAAAAAATTTCGAGCCAAAGAAAAATAAATGCATGACAGGTTGTTGTTGATGGGATTCCAAATTTCTCGAAGCGGAACATATCTTCATTTACTCCCACGCGTTTCTAACACTCAAGAAGGAAGGAGACACGTACACACCGTACCCGTAAAGTTAGCAAGACCACAGACCGATATGCACAAAAAACACGAGGACGGGGAATTCTGCACTGCCACAATTAGGTCTTTGGAATCTCTCGCGTCACTTCTGGGACCGCAGCAAGTATTTGTTATCTCTCAAGACGATAAGGCCCGTGTACCAATAGGCTTACCGGCAGTGAAAAGTAAGAGCCCTCTTTTAATGCACATGGAATACAGAGTACTTTTACCTGACCATGACTGGGTCGTGGCAGAGCGGCACAAACTTATTCCTTCTGTATACGCCGGTATCAACGTGGATCCTAACGGTTTCGGCAAGGAAGAAGCTGTTGGTTACAGCGGGCCGACACACATATCCATAAGGAGTGGTAAACACGCATCCTCCACAGCGAACACCCATGCCTACGATTTCGAATCACTTTTATCAGTGTCTGCATTCAAACCCTTAATGATGACAGAATTGAACACCGTGAAGCCAGTGATCATCATATTTGTAGATGGTGGGCCGGACGAAAACCCGCGTTATCGGAAAGTCAAGAACTTTGCCATTCAATATTTCAAAAAATACAACTTGGATGCCCTGTTCATAGCGACTAATGCACCTGGACGGAGCGCATACAACCGAGTTGAGCGACGCATGGCTCCCCTCAGCAAACGACTGTCAGGCGTCATCCTGCCGCATGAACATTTTGGTTCTCATCTCGACAACAAAGGAATTACTATTGATGATAATTTGGAAAAACTCAATTTTCAGCACGCTGGGGAGACACTTGCTAAGATCTGGAGGGAAATGAAAATTGACAACTATGATGTGTCGGCGGAATATAGAAAACCTGAAGATAGCTTGCAGGATCCGGCAGAACCTAATCTGGCGTGGTATATTGCTCACGTCCGTGAATCGCAATATTTCTTGCAAGTGATTAAATGTGCGGACGAATCCTGCTGTTCTCGCTGCAGGAGTGCATTGAAATCTGTCTTTCCGAATACTTTCCTGCCGCCACCCTGCCCAATCCTTCAAACCCCAAGCAAGCTCGTAGTACCTAATCAGCTGGATAAAGGATCATGCAAGTTTTCACCACTTCTTGTGAGGTTGTCCGTTGATCTGTCGCCTCCCCTAGAAGGGTTTAAGCAGATGCCTTACGATTTCTTTTGACCATCAGTACAATTTGACCTCAAGAACAGAATATGTGCAACCTGTGGGATCTATTTCACATCCCAGAAAAGTGTGCAAATGCATAGTCGTTACCTGCATGGCAAGACTGCCCAAGACCGTCGTGAAAGTAGAGTACGGCCACAGCGACTTGCTGCCAGAAGGGCAAATGAGCTTCTCTGCATTGTGCGCTGCTGTGAAACATCGTCTGAGGATGCCGATTGGCTCGACGAAGACGAAGTTGATGCAAGTGGTTTAACAGTTGCGGAACCCTCTGCGTCTGCTCTCCGGATACCGGTAATGAAAGAGTCTGAGTGGCTGGCAAACCCCTGGACAGAGTTATTATTATAACTCCAATTGAATTGTTCTTTTTTTACATGCCTACTTATTTTAATTATGGCTGATTTTATATTTTAAATTTTTAGTTAAGAATACAATTTTATTTTGACTAAAATGTTTTATTTCAGTTAGGTTTCCATTGCATTACTAAAGGTTAAAATAAATATGTTATTTTATTTTAAGAATTTATTAGTAAAATAAAAGCTAAAACAGTAGAATGCATGAGAAGAACATTGGTGGATTAAGTCAAAAATGTATGTAAGGAAAGGGCCAAGTCAGAAAAACGGCGTAATCTATACAAATAAATTGAAGTGTCTGTTTGTAATGTCAAAATTAGTTTTTTACTAAATGCGTATGAAAGTAAATACGGTACTTATAACTAAAATACAATTTTTAAAACTTTTATCTGTCTGTTTGTTCCGGCTAATCTCCGAAACGGCTGGACCGATTTTGACGGGACTTTCACTGGCAGATAGCTGATTTCATAAGGAGTAACTTAGGCTACTTTTATTTTAGAAATATAATTAGGGTTCCGCGCAATAACTTAAAAACCCTAACACGCGAGCAAAGTCGCGGGGAACAGCTAGTTGAATGTAAACTTAGTAGTAAAAGTTTATTAGGACGAATTTTTTTTTATAGGTTAGGGTGACAAACGAGCACAGAGTCCACCTGAGGGTAAGTGATTAGTGTGACCCATAGATATCTACATCTATCCTCAATTAAGACTCAAAATGCAGATGCGTTGTCACCCGATGGACTACGATGGAATGCCTCTTTTCCAGTAAAAAGGGTCTCCGGTTCTCTACACTCACCATACGAAACACAGCAGTGTTAAGCTGCTATTTTACGCTGGTATTCTGTGAGAGCGTGGTCCTTCCCCGGTCGAGCCGACCCATTCGTACTACAACTATACTACTAATATAGCTGCAGCATGGCTCTACCACGTATAAAAGAATTTGAGCCCATTTTAACATATTTTAAACTTAAGCAAATGTTTATTACATTATGTGTGATAGTTTATTTGATTTTTCTGCGCGGAACCCTTTTATTGGGTGTTATTTGGGGTTTTAATTTTTTTGCGCGGTACCCTAATTATTTTGTATAAAATAAAATTAGCCTAAGTTACTCCTCGTGACATCAGCCAGTGAAAATTCCGTCAAAATCGGTCCAGCTGTTTCGGAGATTAGCCGGAACAAACAGACAGACAGACGGACAGACAGACAAACGGACAGACAGACAGACCGACAGACAAACAAAAACTTTTTAAATTGTATTTTTGCTATTAGTACCGTATATACTTTCAAATGTATTTAGTAAAAAGCTGTAATTTTGACATTACAAACAGACACTTAAATTTTATTTGTTTGTATGTATAGATTACCGCAAACGCGATTAAAACAATAACAAAGTTATTTTAGCGACTTTCCGGTACTTTGCGCAACATAATTGTGACTTTTAGGTAAAAATGGTCACTAGGGTGTTACGTAACGTTTATGGAGGGGGAGGGGGGGTCCAGGTAAACGTTACGGCGCGTTACATAGGGGGGTGGGAGGGTCAAAAATCTGCAAAAATTGCGTTACGTAATACTTGAACGCCCCCTAATTTGCTTGTATACATGTAGGAGGCAATCGCTGGAACTACTGAACCGATTCGAATTATACTTGCTATATTTTATTTTGATTAAAATAAGTTTTTACAGCCTATATTTATTAAAATTTAAAAGTTGACAAGAAATAAACGAGTCCTAGGTAACTGAAACATGTTCGATAAAAATACTTAAAAATAGTGATAACAATGAACTACTAAATAAATACCTTCATATTTGCAAATTCTTAATGCTTAGGTATTCATTAGGTAAAAAAGAAAGTTTTATTACGGAAAGAAACACAAGACTTACCAACGCCGCTTCAGGTTCACTGTCATCACTGGGAGAGTCGCTTCTGCCTAGACCACTCTCGTCCGAGGACGGCGTCTCGAACGGCCGTTCATCCGTTGCCACTCGCACCACCATGTTTCACTATCTGAAACGAAGTTATCGGTTATTTACGTTGCTGTAATTGATTTTACCACGTGATAGAGGGTTCAGAGAATCCTTCACCCAATTTTGATCCATGGTTATTGTTTTTTGTTATAACTTATGTGATAAACGAGCTAATAGCAAGTGGCAACTGAAGCATATGAAGACGTGTTCATATATACATAGCTTCTAGATGTGACGTCGGACGTCACAGGTTCGAACCTCATATTAAGTCACTAGGTAACGTTTTGCCTCCTATACGAGTATCTTAATTTGTAATGGCAATTGCTTGCGATAATATTTATTGATAATTAATAATTTTAAAATATATTACGGTAGCCTGATCCGTCAACATATAGATATATGTTCGACTAATGTTTAATTTCTTGATCATACCTCACAAAATTTTCTACTGGTAAAGTTTCCATTAACGAAATGAGTAGATATATATGTACCTACTAACTCAAATTATGTAAATATCTTCAACTAACGAGTTCAACGTCTTGATATCTTTTTGAGGCGAATATATTAGAATAATAACATTTTAAACGGCTCGTAGTTTTGTTAGACAAAGAAAAATTTATACAAGCCTGCTTAGAATTTTATGATTTAATCACGTGATTTAATTTTAAATTACCTTACATAACAATATATTATGTAAATGACCTTGTGTGCTGGCAACTGCGTGAATTTAAAACAAAAATCATATCTTTGAAAGTCTTTTGAGATATTATAATATTAAACTGAAACAAAAACTTAATTGATACCTGGGCCCTCATCTCCACAGATCGAACTTACAAGAAGAAAATTACTTAAATTTGTGTATATAAATAGATAATAAATCACTTAATTCAAAGTTCTTAAAAACTTCTTCTTAAACTTTTATCTAGATTAGCATCTGGGATCTTATCATTATTTAACACAAGGTGGGATCTTGCTTAGTAATGAAAAATATAAACTTACAAGTACTTAGTTTAAATTTTAATTCATAACATAATGTTGCCGATAATTACATTTTTTTTTCATGGAAAATTAATTTTCTTTTATATATAAATGATAACCAGCATTACCCAATTTTTATTTAGCGATAGATATCTTTACGGTGACCCTATTACAAATTTCAACTACATATCATAATAATTAAAGTGGGTATATAATTTAAAATAATCTATTCATTCTATATGATGCAGCATCCAATAACGGTACGAACTCTTTTCTACAGCTATTTGAGATCCTTTCCTCCTCATCTGTTGTCGGTTTTTCGAGCTATACGGCCCGTCCATTGCCACTTCATATTATTAATCCGTTGGGCTATGTCGGTTACTGTGGTTTTGTTGCGGATATCATAGTTATAGATTTTATTATGCAAAAAAAACTCCGAGCATAGTCCTCTCAGATCCATATGTCATCACTGGCAACACGCACTAATTGTTCACTCTTGTTTTAAAGTTTTGAGGTTTACATGACAACAAATGTATTGTGATCTCCCGAACGCTGTCTAGCCGAGTTGGTCCGTTCCGATCCGTCGATTGACCTGTCGGTCGAAGGTGGACATACCTAGTATTATCATAATGTAATGTAGTCTAAAATGCGTCAGAGCCTCGACCACATCACAACAGACCCGTAAAACAAGAACTGCTTTTTGGAACAAATTTTCATTAGAGCTAGAATTTCAAGCTAATACCTGTGTTACCAAATATTGCTATCATTAATTCCACGTTGTTGACGAAAAAAAAACTATATACAAACATTCAAACATATTAATGGTTCAAACGCGCAATAACATACGAAATTACGTATTTACATCTGATTAAATAATATGACGCAAAAACAATGCTATCATCACATAATATGACGCACATCAGTGCCGAATTAAGCAAGCGCTTGGCCCGTAGCAAATTCTATCGAGGGGCTCTTGATCTACTATGGGTTCTTAAGTATAAAGTGGTAAAATACATTTCAATACTTAATACGTTTATTTGCCATCTATAGGTTTCAATTTTGTTGATGTTTAATAGTAAAGTAGATTACTAATAGGTCCTGTTAGACTCTGATAAGTACAAATAGCCAGAGATGAGATTTGGCAATTTAGAATGATTTTGATAAGAAACTAACAATTTAAAACTGACGATACTACACAAATATTATTGTAAATCTTTTAAGTACACATTTTAAAGTTTATATTTATTAAAAATATTTTTAGGAATAGGTAATGTTATATTGTATCAATGGTGTACTTTAAATTATGTAAATGTTTTTTATTCATCTGTTTCTCTTTTTCTTTTTAATCGTTTACAAAGTAACTTTTCTAGATTTCATGTGGGCAAATTTAAAAATAATACTATCCGTATCAATTCTTCTAAGCAAATCATATTCTATATTCATCAGAGAGAATTATGGGGTTCTTGACTCATAGTGTTCCTTAATTTACTTTTTATAAATTAAGAAACATTATATCGAAAATGAACGTTCGGCACTGCAGTTATTGATCATAAGAGACAATAAATACGCAAAGCAGTTTCTAAATTGGGGAAACATGATTCTAATGAACTTTAGGAATTTATAATATTGAATTTCCAGAGATTCGTTTTTAGTACTGTCAATCGCACCAGCCACATACGTTTTGAGCAGCTCGGCAAACTGCACTAAGTCGCCGTCTATACTGTTTTCCAAACCAATTGCATACGTACTGACCATAATTAGAGTTTCTTTCAAAATCTCTTATGCTGTAATAGATTTTAAGTGTCGAAATATTCCAAAATGACTAGTTAGATTTTGGTATGCTTTCATGCATTCACGTCTAGAACAGATAATAAGTTATCAATAATGACAACAAACACCTCAATTTCAAACTATTCACCAGGTATTTCTTTTTCAACAAATTCGTCAAGTGTACTAGAACCGCTAGAATGGTCGTAATTTGTGTTTCGCTTGCGTCGTCTTGAAGTCTGTTGATATTCATGACAGCTCGTCAGATCTTTGGCTTTTGCTTCAATATCTGAAATTGTGGAACGCATTGTTTGGACATATCGATGAAATGATTCATAAAGGGTATTTTGTATTAAGGTCTATACTAGACGATTGTAGTGACGCACTAGTCACTTGCAGACGTTCTAATATTTCATTCCACGTAACTGTCATCAATTATATTTCCGTTTCACGCATTTGATGCAGTGCTTGCTTGATGCAATTAATTTGATAAATTTCTCGCATGTTGTTTTAGATAGATATAACATATCCCTTATTGGCATAAGTTTATCGTATCGGTCCGGGAAAAACCGCTGGTGACAGTAAATACCACAGTTTGGTCGCGTGAAGCAGAAAATTCTGCGTAAATCGCACAGTAGTGAACCGTCAGCTAGCGTGATAATGAGGATGGAATTTTGAGTTCTGTCGTAGTGTACGATGGTGAAATTCTGGAATTAATCCGACCAATTCCTCTGACCACTCCCCGTGGTATATGAGGTAAAAGATGCATAGAAATGCAATGTCTCTTCGCAAGGCTAGTTGACCAAGCCGATCGGAATCGGGGTCACTTTTCGTTGGATACGGTCAAGTGAAAGGAGCCGATACTGAGGTGCCCCGGCCCAGAGGTGAGAACAGTATTCCTAATGAGGCCGAACCTACGCTTTGTAAAGCTGCAAGCGGTGGTCCGGCATGAAATACTGTCTAGATCCACTGAGCACACCTAGCTTTTTTTTAAGGCAGTTTAGCCTTCCCTTCCAAGTGACTACGAAATTGAAGCTGTCGAAGCCAAGGATTCCGATGCTGGCTGAGGTATCGAGGGGGAGTGCCTTGAAATCGAGGAGACACGACATAAGGTTTTTTTTTTTGCGGTAAACGTGCAAAGCTATCTTTAGGAGTTAACTGGACTAGGTTTAGTCGTCCCCAATTTGAGACTTTGTTTAACAAGCTGGATTTCAGATACAAGTTCGTTCCGGCACTCGGCGAGGTGTTCCCGAGAAATGTAAGCACGGCTAGTGTATAAAGCATCGACAGTGGTATCGGTCATCATCGTCATAACGTCAACGGCATAACAATAATTCATATATTCGTCTAACCTATAAAAACAAAGAGTTAGACGAATATATGAATTATAAAGAAATGTAAAATAATGGTGAAATATAGAAAAGCTTATTAATTTTTTTTTAAACATTTAATATTTATTTAATTTTTTTGACATTTTTTAATTTTTTTAGATACTATACATTTATATATAATCTATTACCTAATTAATTAAATTTTTGACATATATTTATTGTAACTTAAAAACTTGACGCTAAAATATTTTTAAATAACTACATAATTGTTTTTTCTAAATATTTACCTCGTTAAATTGTAATAATAATAAAAAATGGGTCTCCGGTTCTCAACACTCACCATACGAAACACAGCAGCATTAAGCTGTTAATTTACGCTGGTATTCTGTGAGAGCGTGGTCCTTCCTCGGTCGAGTCGACCCATTCGTGCTACAACTATATTATCTCTACCACGTACAATACCTTATAATAAACCTTCCCAATAACAACTAAAAATAAAAAATAAACTGCGGTTGCCAAGCGTGGCAACTATAGCTAATATCCCTCTATGAATCTATGTGGGTGTCAATGTCCAGCGGTGGACTTTTAATAGGCTGTAATGGTAACGGAAAATTATGCGAGCCTGTCCGATTTAATGGCCAAAGAGATAGAAGAGTCAGTTCTTGAAGCAATAGGTACAAATATTATTATTATTTTTGGCATTATATGGATCGATAACCGCTTGACCTGACTTGAAATGAATAATAAATATTATGAGAGTAAATCAAAAACATTATTGCATTGATAAGGAGTGATAAAAGCGGTCGAAGCGTCCCTGCATTGCCTTGCATACTTTTAGAATACACTTAACTTTTGCAGTTCTGAATGTTAATTACTATTTTATTTATTTGATTTTATTTTTTAGGTGTAAGATATCTTGATAAGAAATGTTGTGAGTGAGGAATCCTGTACCTA